TACTGCCTCCTCACAGGGGCCGGAGCTGGACAAACGCCCTCCTCCGACCCCCGGCTCGGCGGCGGCGGCACGGCGCCGAGAGGGAAGACGAGCTCTCCCTCTCCCGTTCCCCCGCCTCTTTCTGCGAGATGTTGGACTCGAAGAAGTCGAGTAGAGGACATGGCCTGCTCTAACTGACACACAGCGACATTGACTTTCTTAAAAATCTTAGGAGCAAGCAGTGGCGAAATTTCCCTTGGAAACTGTGCGTAAATCCATAGATTCGTGGCCAAACAAATTAAAGGCCTGAATAAAAGCCAAAGGTGGCCATTTCGAATAGATTTTTTTATTTTCATCTGACATTTTAATAAATATGTAGGTATAAATTTTAATAATGTTATATTACTTCATTAAAAAAAATTCATTTGCACTTGTGGCGACTATGAGCTCCTGTGGCCACTTAACAACAGAATAATGGAAGTATTGTCAGATCACTTAGCTGGTCCTATAATAATAAAAATAATTTCAATTATTTTTAAAAAATAAACAAACTATCTAATAAAGGTTTTTGCACGGCCCGAACTCGCGTGCTTTCACTCAGTAATCAAACATTGTACACATTTTATGCAAAATTCCTGAAAACAAGAATGAAGTAATCATAAATTCATGCATGCTTACATTTTAATCCTCTGCTACATTGTTTGTTAATATATTGTTCATAATTAGGTCTGGTTCTGGTGATAGGACCTCTTGTGAGTCCGCACGGGTAGGTACCACCGCCCTGCCTATTTCTGCCGTGAAGCAGTAATGCGTTTCGGTTTGAAGGGTGGGGCAGCCGCTGTAACTATACTTGAGACCTTAGAGCTTATATCTCAAGCTGTGTGGCGCTTTTGCGTTGTAGATGTAAATGGGCTCCAGTAACCACTTAACACCAGGTGGGGTGTGAGCTCGTCCACCCATCGAAACAATAAAAAATAAATAAAAACGATGGAACATAAAACCAGTTTTAGGAAAGTGAAGCATCTTATGGATGTAGAAAAACCGTGTTGCGGTAACAGTTAACTACGTACTTTTTATATCTGACGCATTTCTATTGTTCTACAAACGTAACAGACGACAAAAAAATTTGAACGTCTAACGGCGTGGACACATGTCTACGGTACGGCACCGGCCACCGTGTCACGGCGCGGCGCCGCCACCGTTGACACGGCGCAGCGTCGTGCCGCGACACGCTGCCGTGTACGGTGCACCGTGATGACTACGGCGCGGCGCCGCCACCGTTGACACGGCGCAGCGTCGTGCCGCGGCACGGTGCCGTGTAGGGTGCACCGCACCGGCACACCATCGTTTCCAATACAGCTTCTGTCTTAACATGGACCGCGAAAGACGTATTATTCTGCTCCTTTTGCTAATTTTGATATGATTTCTTCCAAAGGAGATTGGTGATGTTTAGCGACGATTTATACTAAAGTTCTATCTTCTTTATATATTTGAAAAAAATATCTTTGATGTTAGTCAATTTTTTAATGACGTCATTAGTTTTTTAATGCACCGCACCCAATGAACCGCACCGGCACATGGCGCACTGCTCCTGCGCAGTTTGTTTTTTGTTATTGCATAGTACGCACGTGGTAATGTTTTTGCATGAAATGGCTGATTACGTATTAGCCATTTCCATTTTGGCTAGGTATCTACAAAAATAGCACCTTTAGCGTACCTATTTTTTTTTAATTCGTGTTTGTTGTTCTTTGTACACAATAAAAAAACCACCAAAAATAAACACTTTGTTTCTAAAAAAACTAAGACAGTTTTCTCTTTGGAATCTTTATAATAAAAATAATAATACGAAGGACGGTCATTTACGCCTTTGCGATAGAACTCTGGTGATCTAGATTCTACAAACTAGGAAGAAAAGTTTTTACCACGTACAAAATTGTCCAAATCACGAAATAATGGTATGGCGTATTAGCAACAGGAGCAGAATAATACGTCTTTCGCGATCCATGTTAAGACAGAAGCTGTATTGGAAACGATGGTGTGCCGGTGCGGTGCACCCTACACGGCACCGTGCCGCGGCACGACGCTGCGCCGCAGTCATCACGCTGCACCGTACACGGCAGCGTGTCACGGCACGACGCCGCGCCGTGACACGGTGGCCGGCGCCGTACCGTAGACATGTGTCCACGCCGTAACACCAGCCTGTAATAACGCTGCCTTATTAATTCGTATTTTCATAAATTTTGGCACATTTTATGAAAGTAATGAAGATATTGAATTTATGAACGATAAATTCATGAACGATAAATTCAAATTCAGCAATGACATGAATAGACTACAGCAAATTAAAATAAAAAATTATCAATGTAAATTATCAAATAAATCTCCATCGCCGTGTCTACAATGTTTCCATGTGCTTAAATTAGTTTTCAAAGATGGCTGGACGAGCTCACGGCCCAACTGGTGTTAAGTGGTTACCGGAGCCTGTAGATATCAGCAACATAAATAAGCCGTCACCCACTTTGACATAGCAGTTCTAAGTCTCAGTTTTTATGAAAAATGGCTGCCCCACCCTGCAAACTGAAACGCAATACTGCTTCACGGCAGAAATAAGCAGGGAGATGTGTATTTCCTACCCGTGCGGGCTCACAGAACGGCTTTTTTTTTCGGTCAGGGGGCCGATCCTCGTACGATTTCTGCGCCTAGAGGGCGTGCGGGGTATGTGGGACTTGGCGGTCTGCAGATGCTAGAAGCAGACCGCGGGCCCAAGGTCCATGTTTTAGAGCCCTACCCATCAAACGACTCCCCTTCCACTCTCTCACCCGACGTCCGATCTTGGGGTCTCCGGTCTCCGGGGTCAGAACCTAGACAGAGTAGGGGGTTTCCACAGTCAATACTCCAACTAGACTCACGGCGCCATCCCTAGGACTCCCGACCGACGAGTCGTCGAGGCGATAGTCGACGACCTCACGTCGGTCGTATCGTTATGGCAGCCCGACAGACTGTCCCAGGCGGTGCCACTGGTGTCCGTTTGGGTCGTTATAGTGTTATTTGTGTTCAACAAAACTATTTTATTCCAACAAACTAAAATTTTCATGTTGAATAAAAACAGAAATGTCAAAACAATCTTGTAAAATTTTAGTAAAAACTTTATTTAAATTAATTTCAAATTTAGAAACTTTCTATTGTTGCTTAAACGTTAAATCACTTTGTAAATCACAAAAATTCCATTTGAATATGTAAAAAAGTCGTAAGTATAACTAAAATGGTATTTAATAAATAAATTTAATATAATAAACAACACCTTCCTAACGTTGCTTGGAAAGCTACCGTCGGAATTCGTGGTTAAACTTAAACAAGAGAAACAGCTGTCGATTTTATTAAAAACTTTTACCTAATAACATTTGACAGGGAACTACAAGAGAGATTTAAAGATATCGATTTTATTCCACTATAATATAATATGATTTTATTTTTTAGTGAAGTTTTTTTTTTACATTATCTTTTTTTTCATAATTATTTCCTATAAAACAACTGGCTGAGTACAAAACTTTGTATTGTTATTGTTATTAATTCCGTGAAAGTTTCGATATACATATTAGCATTTATGCCAATTACGTGGGGTGCGAGTCGTTTTAATAAATGATTGCATTTCACAAATTAATTAAGTTCACAAAGTACTTCAACTGGTATTTAATGATAATTACTTTTGATGCTGTTGATGAAGAGAAACATTGATGACCCATTTGATGTTAGGTGTTTATCAGAGTCCAGCGATAATGTGCTAGAAAAAACAAAATGTGAAAAGATAGTGAGTTATAATTGTTATTTTATTAGATTAGAATCGAATATTTGGCTGTTGTCTGGATTATTCCCGAATTATTTAATGTATTGAATCCACTGCAGTAACACATAGTCGTCGTGGCCTAAAGGATAAGACGTCCGGTGCATTCGTGTTGAGCGTTGCACCGGTGTTCGAATATCGCAGGCGGGTACCAATTTTTCTGATGAAATACGTACTCAATAAATATTCACGATTGACTTCCACGGTGAAGGAATAACATCGTGTAATAAAAATTAAACCCGCAAAATTATAATTTGCGTAATTACTGGTGGTAGGACCTCTTGTGAGTCCGTGCGGGTAGGTACCACCACCCTGCCTATTTCTGCCGTGAAGCAGTAATGCGTTTCGGTTTGAAGAGTAGGGCAGCCGTTGTAACTGTACTTAAGTGAGACCTTAGAACTTATATCTCAAGGTGGGTGGCGCATTTACGTTGTAGATGTCTATGGGCTCCAGTAACAACTTAACACCATGTGGGCTGTGAGCTCGTCTACCCATATAAGCAATAAAAAAGTAAAAAAAAAACAACACAAGCAATGTGTATCTAAAGTATGTTTCTTAGATTTTGATGTATCAAGTATGTTAAGTTGATAAATAGTATCAAATATTTTAAAAAACGATGTATTTAAAATGAATGTTTGTTTAGTTTAGAACAGATTTCAAAATTAAATTAAAATTAGAAAATCGACAGTCCAAATATCAAATTAAATAACAAGAGGTGTTGTTTCGAATTCGATTTTTAGATTATTTATTTTGATGTTTTTTTTTATTTGTTTTTATTGCTTAAATGGGTGGGGTTAAGTGGTTACCGGAGCCCATGGACATCTACAACGTAAATGCAGCCACCCACCCTGAGATATAAGTTCTAAGGTCTCAGTATATTTACAGCGGCTGCCCCACCCTTCAAACCGAAACGCATTACTGCTTCACGCCAGAAATAGGCAGGATGGTGGTACCTACCCGTGCGGACTCAAAAGGGGTCCTACCATCAGGACTCGCTCTGAAAATGCTCGCTCGGATCCGTATTCGATTAAATATCAACTGTATTCGATTAATAACATTTTTCCCATCTCGAAGTTTCGATAATCGGCTATGGGTGGGTATAATAAAAAAAAAAAATAGTACGTTTCGTTTGTCATCATTTGTGTGTTGCGATAAAATCATAAATCTTAAAAACTAAACAATGGATGTTCAAATACCGTTTATAGCTCATCATTCTGTAGGACAAACTTTTGAAGAAATTCTACCATCTACGTCTGCATACGTAAGTTCAGATTTAAAAAATAAAGTAACATTGTTTTTTTTATTAGTTACTAGCTGACCCGGCAGACTTCGTAGTGCCTCAATCGATAAATAAAAGACCTAAACTTTTGTATGAAATAAACTTAAACAAAATGAATCCGTCCGACGTCCTTTGATGTGTCCTCACATCAAAGGACGTCAAACAAACAAAAAAACAAAATTGTTATTTTTATTTAATTCCGAGCATTTTCATANAGTAACATTGTTTTTTTTATTAGTTACTAGCTGACCCGGCAGACTTCGTAGTGCCTCAATCGATAAATAAAAGACCTAAACTTTTGTATGAAATAAACTTAAACAAAATGAATCCGTCCGACGTCCTTTGATGTGTCCTCACATCAAAGGACGTCAAACAAACAAAAAAACAAAATTGTTATTTTTATTTAATTCCGAGCATTTTCATATTTATCTATCCTATTAAACCTTCTCTGGACTTCCACAAATAATTCAAGACCAAAATTAGCCAAATCGGTCCAGCCGTTCTCGAGTTTTAGCGAAACTAACGAACAGCAATTCATTTTTATATATATAGATAGATGTATTTCGTTATTTAAAACAATACCAAATACAAACAATTGTTTGTCCTTAAAAAAATTAACGAATCAGTAAACGAAGGTTCCAGTTGCGTTTTTTTTTTAATTAAAACATATTTAAGTGTAGGTAGTAATTTTAAACCAACATGAGGGTTAGATAAGGGCAAGCCGTTTTCTACATTAGGGGTCGACCCTAAAGTTTATTTAAAGTTTATGGTGTTAATACATACTACTGTAATACTAGTACATTTTATACTAACAAAATATACTAGTATTTTTATTATGCCTACGACTACGAAAACCGAAGAAAATACAGTAATAGTAATTATTTGAGTTATTTAACTATTTTCAGATTAAAAAACAGCCAGAGTTTTTGGAAAGTGGATGCATTTTGAAAAAAGGTAATCCTCATATATTTGTCTTGGATCTTTTCAGCCATAACTCACATGGTGGTGGCAATATAATATGTATTCATAATATAGCTTGATTAACTTTGCTGGCATTTGAAAGCCGCTTGTTGTTCATAAGTAATATCTCAATTTTTCTATAACGAATGCACACGGTTTCAGTATATTTATTTTTGGGAGTGTATTTATTTTTAGGCTATTTACAATTAAACGGGTATCTGAAGATTCTTTGGATGTACGACGTTATACCAGTTTTTTTTATCGCTGCTTTAGAACAGTTCTATGTTTCAAATGTAATAGTGGACTAACGGTTTTCAAACGTTGAATAAGCGATTTGATTTTATCGCAAAGTTTTTGTTGGTTTTTTTACGTTAATATGTCAGAGACTGTTGACATTTACCAAACGAACAGTTATTGAAGTTTACCATAAAGTATTTCCATAAAACTTGTTAGATAAATCGCATCGGTTTTTTATTATACAAAGTTTTTGATATACTGCTGTTTGAAATAAAAGCTCATTCATGTTATTTACAGTGACATTAATACAATCCTTCAAACGTTGTGGCCAGTTATCGATTGGAACACATGTGTTCATAATTTCTACATTGAAAAAATCGTTACTGTCTATCTTATGGGATGTTTTAGGGCCTTCAAATTATCGTAACATTAATAAGCGGATGAAGATTCAGAACAGAGGACGGCTAGTCTTCAGCCCTTAAAGTGAGAAACGCTCAATTCCTGTTTCGTTTGAGTCGATAATTTCTACATTGAAAAAATCGTTACTGCCAACCTTATGGGATGTTTTAGGGCCTCAAAATTATCATAACATTGATAAAGGGGTGAAGATTCAGAACAGAGGACGGCTAGTCTTCAGCCCTTAAAGTGAGAAACGCTCAATTCCAGTTTCGTTTGTGTCGATCGATCTTTATACCCGCTGCTGAGACTTGCTGAAATTAGTACATTTTTTCTCCTACCAGACCGAAAGTTTGTGGAGTACCGTGCCGGGGTCCAGGGGCGAAGCCCTGGCGGGGTAAGGGGGCGGAGCACCCTATACTTGTAAAAAAAAACAATTTAACTGTTTTTTTATTTTTTAATAAACTACTACTAATTAAATAAGAACGGTCGGAACTCATCTTTGTTCCGATTCCCAAAACCGAACTTTCGGCGTAGGTAGGAGAAAAAAGATTTTTTTGCTATGAAATGTCTTATCGTTAAGAGGCTTCATTAACCACCTTGTCACGTTTTGATAGACGTGGGTCGATGTTTTGATATCTTTTTCACAAAAATATTGCTCACCAAAGCATTATTGATTTCTTTACTGAATAACTGAGAAGCCTACTTAAGCTTTCATAGCTTTGAGCACTTTCGATTGTTATGTCTATGCCGTAAAATGTTGAACAATAATTTAAAAAAATCACTTAACATTTTTTTTCCTAATGTATTTATTACAATTAATTTTGTAACTACTATGTAATTACGTGCGCGTTACGTTAACATAATTATGTTTTTCATTTATTAAAACACTTTATAGGTTTAATGTGGTAATCATTTTATAATTTTCAACATTTTCCTTTCACATTTTACGTTCTTCGTTTTGCTGTACGTTATCTTATTTCACATGTTTTTGTATATAATTTTCCTATTACTCTGTACTATATCTTCTTTTTTGTGTGTACATAAATAAAGAAATAAAATAAATAAATACGAATTTTAGTTAGAAATATTACTTTTAATGAAGAAATGAATGATTAATGAAAGCATAGAGTAAGCCTAGCTACAGTTTTTTCGTCCTGTTAATAAAATTTATACTTGGTATTCGATGATAACGAATCCTGAGTTTAAATTTCAGTCGTCAAATTTAACATAAAATTAGATTGTTTGATAAATAAAATAAAAGACGAAAATCGACCGAAACGCGTTTTTAATATTGTCTATCACAAGTGAAAACCGAAGTAATTTCTATTAAAATTTTACCTCTTATAGAACATCTCTATAATATTCCTAGCGTGGAATTTTAAGCTAAGTGACTTCAAAATTTATGACGAGATATAGACAATAATATGAATTGAATTAGTTAATGTTTTGAGGTTAGTGTGCAGTTATAGGAATTCAATTAATTAACATAAAGCGAAACTAAAACTGGCTCAGCTACGTAGATGTCACAATGTTGTTATTCGTTAATGTTTTACTCTTCCAAATAGGCAGACCAGTTCGCGGCCAACATAGTTTTCTTACCGTCTACGCCAGACCAGGTTCGCGCCGCACCGCCAACGAAATTATTTACATTATACTTACCATATACATACATTATACTTTATACTTACAATAACATTCTTTGTAGTGGATTATCGATGAATAATTAAGTACAATAGGCGCAACAAACACTTAATATATAATCCATTTATGGTACAAGTCTCATAAGATTTACGTCAAAACAATAGATCAAAATTAACAAATAATAAAAAATAAATAAATAATAGTGTATTAACAAAATACGCTTTTATAGAAATCCAACTAAAAATCGACTATAAATTTGAATTAAAAATAAAGTAAGAAAAAAATATTTTATTGTAGAAAAGCGTGGGGTGCTTTTCAGGATATTATCAAAAGAACCCTTTTACTCATATCTGTTCATAAAATATTTATAACTATTAATACCATGCACCCCATGCTTTTTTTTTACAATAAAATAATTTTTCCTTACATTATTTTTAATTCAAATTATAGTCTATTTTTTAGTTGGATTTCTATAAAAGCGTATTTTGTTAGTTTTTTTAAACTATTATTTATTTTTCATTTTTTAGTTGAATTTCAATATTTTCAATTATTTTTTTACTATTGAATTGTCATCGGTCCTTAATAAGTATACCAAATTTTGAGTTAATACGCCGTTTTGAAGGGGGTCAAAATGACGTTCAAAGATTCCGTTACAAACATACATACGTCTGAAGCTAATAAAAGCGTATTAAAAACCATTAATACATGAAGATTCGTAAATATAGGAGGCGCTTCATGGATTCCGCACAGGCGCTGACAAGGGTCGAGCGCGGCTTTGCGCCAGACCAGCATTCGGCCTAACATTTGTTAAATGGTTAATGTTCACAGTTCTACTGGGATATGGCCAATTTAGGAATACATGGATATTCGTAGGAGGAATAAATAAAAACGGTGTGACCTTAACGCACTTACCATGTGCTAAAGCACCAGTATCTTGTGAACTGAGTGTACTGTTTTTCTTCTGTAGATGCCTTACAGGCTGTGAAACTGGATCCCGCAGTTTTGGAGGCACAAATAACAGTGGAAACGAGAAAAATCGATGGAACCGATTCTACACAAACTCAAGTTTCTTCACAAGGAAGTGAATTACGTAAGTTGCCCAACACCGTCACAGTTTTTTTGGGAGTCGTATCTAAACATTTAGTTGTTTTTCTTATGATTGATTGGCGATTGTTTGTGGTAAACGACAGGCGTGATGCCACAAATCTTATTTTCAAGTTCTTCAACATATCTTAAACGATTTTTTTCTTTATTTTATGATCAAATTAGACTAAGTATACCTATTATAGTACAGTACTAAACGAATGAACAATGTTACTATTCCCATGAATGAAATCTGCTGGAGATCACGGGGTCATTTCAAATAATTCTTCAGATCATATGTTATCATCATTATCAGCCAATATTAACTCCCGTTGGCCTCTATAGGTCTCATCTAATTCGCGGCACATTCCTCAATTTTTCTCATAATATACTCCTTGATTCGATACTCCTAATTGATTTTTTTAATGGCGTATATACGTCAACGATCTCACGACCCACCTGGTCTAAAATGGATACCCGAGCCAATGAACTTGACAACGTGAATACCGCCACCTTTTTTTTTTTTTTTTTTTTTTCTGGCCGGGGGCCGAACCTCCTACGAGGTCCCCGCGCCTAGGGGGCGCGCGGGGTATGTGAGACTCAGCGATCTGCAGGTGTTGAGAGCAGATCGCGGGCCCAAGGATTTTAGGGCCCACCCACTAAACGACTCCCCTGCACTCTTACACCCGACGTCCGATCTCCGTCCGGGGTCAGAACCCGTTCAGAGTAGGGGGTTCCCGCGGTCAACACTACAACCAGACACGCGGCGCCACCCCGAGGACGCCCGACCGACGGGTCGTCGAGGCGATAGTCGACGACCAACGACGTCGGTCTCCGCGGATGAATACCGCCACCTACCTTAAGTCATGAGTAGGATTATCACAATCGTATTGTGGAACGATTCTCTAAGCTTTCCGACCGGAACGCAAGTTTGTCTTAAGGCACTTAAAGGCAGGGTGGTTGTATCTATGCGGGCTTACATTACACCAAACCACCAGTAGTTATCAATAATTAAAATTAAAAATTACGCTAGTCGTAGTTCTCTTTTCCCAACTCATGAATTTTCGCGGTTTTATAGGTAAGGTCCTCGATTTTCCGTATCGAGTGACATAACTAGATGTTTTCTTCGATTCCGGGAGAAGCACCAATTTTAATGGTAGATTTATTTTTTCGGATCGGCTAAGCAAAATCGAAAAACATCCAACGATTGCGGAGGTAGTTTGAGGTGTAGTGTGGGAGTGGATACCGAGAAGCCACCTTCCCTTATATATTTTAGATATATTTGTTGATCGTGATAAACATTCTCGTATTTATTTAGAAGAAAAAAAGTTACCTATCTGTACCATTTGTGTAAAACGGCAAACAACAAGATGATATATGACAATATGATTTTAAGTAAGTGTACCGAATGTGTAAGTGAAATCGTTAGGCTGCAGCCGTTTTGTATTGTTATCGAATTCTTTTTCAACGGAACATAATTCAGCGATATGCTGTTTTCGTAATAATGAATGCCTTGGTGCCTTTAAAAATTAAAAATGCAATTAAGTATTTTAGAGATTGTTTTAAAACTTCAGCCGCTGAGGCTCTGCGTGTCGACTTCAAGAAAATTGTGTCAATGCACGAGACAGCACTCCTCTCTTTGACTCCGGATCAGTATCAGTTCCTGCTAATTTACGTCGAAGCTCTTCGCCAGAAGCGAATTGGTTTACAAAAGCATTTTGTAAGTGATCCTAGATAAGATTCAGTTTATTTCATACTCCTAACTATTGTAGTTTAGGGCTGAGATCAATTTCAACACGTAATACCTAAGCTTAATTTCTTGAGGCAGTGATACAACGAAATTTTTTCATGATTATTCGCCTAGTGCAAACGTACAGATTTGAAATACTTATAATAATAGGTTGGGGAAAAAGTCTTTTCGCATTATAGTATGTATGAATTTGTTATAAAATCTCTTTGGCTATACTTTTTTTTTTATTGCTTAGATGGATGGACGAGCTCACAGCCCACCTGGTGTTAAGTGGTTACTGGAGCCCATAGACATCTACAACGTAAATGCGCCACCCACCTTGAGATATGAGTTCTAAGGTCACAGTATAGTTACAACGGCTACCCCACCCTTCGAACCGAAACGCATTACTACTTCACGGCGGAAATAGGCGGGGTGGAGGTACCTACCCGTGCAGACTCCCAAGAGGTCCTACCATCAGTGATTACGCAAATTATAATTTTGCGGGTTTGATTTTTATTACACGATGTTATTCCTTCACCGTGGAAGTCAATCGTGAACATTTGTTGAGTACGTACTTCATTAGAAAAATTGGTACCCGCCTGCGGGATTCGAACACCGGTGCATCGCTAGATACGAATGCACCGGACGTCTTATCCTTTAGGCCACGACGACTTCAAACTACTATTTGTATCTTGCTGGTTTTGGGATTGGAAGGGCATTATTCATTATGAGCTGTTACCACCAGGCAGGACCATCGATTCTGAACTCTACTGCGAACAACTGATGAGATTAAAGCAAGATGTTGAGAGAAAGCAGCCGGAATTAATCAACAGAAGGGGTCTGGTTTTTCATAATGATAACGCTAGACCTCACACATCTTTAGCCACTCAGCAAAAATTAAGAGAGCTTGGCTGGGAGTTGTTAATGCATCCGCCGTATAGTCCTGACCTTGCTTGCACCTTCAAATTTCCACCTGTTTCGGTCTCTTCAGAATTCTTTAGGCAGTGTCAAGCTAACATCACGAGAGGACTGCCCAAACAAATTATTACGGTATTTTGATCAGAAGCCCCAAAATTTCTATAGCAATGGGTCCCTACCTACAAGATGGCAAAAAGTTATCGAACAAAATGGTACCTACATACTTTAGTAAAATGTAAATAAACTATATTAAAAAATGTTGTGAATTTTCTTAAAAAATGCGAAGAAACTTTTTCCCCAACCTATTAATTAATATTATGTTCCCCTTTACTCAGCGATATGCTAGGGAGAGAAGTTATTCCTCAACTTATTGACGTTTTAAACTACAATTTATGGAAGTGTTGAAAAAAATCTGAAAATAAGTGCGCATTGGGGATTACGTTAATTAGCTAGTAATAATAATAATAAATCAAGTATTAAAAATCCTTTTCCGGTTACACATACATTTTATGTGTACTATAAATAAATGAAATGTAAAAAATGTCAAGAAATATCTCTATGAAAATAAAGACTGTATTTAGCAAAGTATACGAATAACATCTTAGTCGTCAGCCAACACGAAAACTGCAAAGTTCTCGCAACGTCAAAAACAATAAAATGAAAATAATAAACGCGAGATTAAGGTGTAAAGACGTAGACACAATTAAGCCGTAGTTTTAATTGTTTCTGTGATTCGTGAAAACCGAATAATTAATTTTAGATCCATAAAAAAAAAACAATCAAATTAATCTCGTTTTTCAAATATTCATGATATTTTTTAATTAAAATAGTAATTTGAATTAATTGTAAAGTAATGAAAAGGATAAGGAATAGCATTTCCAGATCTTTTAGCCGGCAAAAATATAATTATTTAATGAATTTAATTTCAAAAAAAAGTTTACGTACATACTAGCGGGATTTTAATACCATTTCATTATTATTATTTAAAAAACTATATAAATTCTGGGCTTTTAACTTCCATACGTCCAAACGTTACTTTGTTAGGAGTGCGCCTTCTGTAAGAAAAATGGGGAGTCAGTGTCATGGTACAGAACGCATGCTCTGAAGGATGGGCGCGGTCGGGTGAAGTGCCCTGTACTTAGAGGGTTCCGCTGCCCGCGCTGTGGGGCCACCGGGGACCGAGCTCACACCATTAAATATTGCCCACAGAACTCCGATTAATTAAGGTAAATATCCGAATTCGTTGCAATTAGATTTATTTAATACTAGCGACCCGCCCTTGCTTCGCTTCGGAAACATTAAATTTTAGTATTGATAGTTGAGTCCCGCGATGCTAGCCGCGGTTATTGTCGTACCGCGAGTGATGCCGCGGGGCGAAGCTAGTCTAAAAAAAAAAATAGCCTAAGTTACTCTTTATATCATCAGCTACCTGTATCAGTGAAAGTCCCGACAAAATCGGTCCAGCCTTTCCAGAGATTAGCCGGAACAAACAGACACAAACAGACAAAAATTGTAAAAAATGTTATTTTGGTGTATGTACCGTATATATATATTCATATGCATGTAGTAAAAAGCGGTTATATCAATATTACAAACACACAATCCAATTTTATTTATATGTGTAGATAGCTGTACCCGTCCGCTACGCTGGGCTTTTAAAATTAACATTATTATTTCTCACCCCCACAAAGATTCTCATCATTAACGCCCCCGCAACTGGTGTAGAGAGTCCAAAAATCATATAAATATATCATAAAAATATATCCATTAAGTACATATATTTTCTACATGGATACCAAGTTTCAAGTCGATCGGATGCATGGTTCAGTAGTTATAACGGAACATCCGTAAAAACCACTGTAGATTTATATATTAGTATAGATTCATCTCTCTCGATCTCTTATACATACATTAAATTTTGCATATCCGAATTAAAATCGAAGAACTATATGGAAATCTATAGAATCCATAAACTTTTTTTTATTTCGAAGAAATATTAAAATAAATAATGCTTGACATAGTGAGAGAGAGTATAATTTATTATATACCAAATCTAATTGACACTGGAAATCAGTCAACACACAAGTATGATTTGTACAAATGGCGGCCTTATGCTAAAACCGATCTCTTCCAGACAAGCGTTTTCATATAAAGAAATTGTAAAAAAGGTACGGTAGATATACTTTGTACTATTAGTGCAAATGTTAAGTGGATGGACACCAGTTAAGTGCGAGTAAATAGAAGACTCAAAGTGGAACTAATTAACACGAGCACTATTAAGCTAGTTAGATAGTAAATTGACGTATTAATTCATACGTATTTACATTTAACGACCGAGTATGTTTTTTCAACAATGCTATTCAGTATTAGTTATTAATATTACAACACTAGTAATAAAAGTTAATCATAAAATTTGTATGTTTACAATGTTGGTATTCACTGTAACATGCCAGACTTCAGTGATATATTTGATAGGAAATTTACTATATTCTGTAAATGCTATTTAGCCTTGTTTGCTAGCAACAATGCGGTGTGACGTTTGGTCATTAATCTGCTACTGCCCATGTTAATAACGAACAGCCAAGGTTAAATGTCTAAGACATGCTGTATCTACATTGGATTTCTTTACATTTTTTTTTTGTTGTTATTGAATTTATATAACTATTATATTATTATGTAAACAATATTTCTAGTTTACTGAAGATAAAACAGATTTACGTTAATCATGTTTTTGTTTCTTTATTTTAGGTTGTGGGGACACCTGTTTTTAGCTATCTGCTGCTTTGCTGTAGAGAAAAAACTCCATTGAATTTTATTTTTAAACAAGAAATAAATAATAATTACACTCCATTTTCTATTATTTCAATCAAAACATGATAATTTTTCCATTAGACGTATTCCTCGAAAAGGCAAAAGTAGGTAAAATAAATAACGATAATTTGAGCCACATGCTGTTTAGTACACAATAGCGGGAAAATTGGAGTAATTTCACGATTCCCAATGTATACTGAAAATAACCGTTCTGAAATTAGAACGGTGGCATGCGCAAGCCGAACATAAGACGACAGGCTCATTGCCCACACGAACGTTTATAAAAGAACTCAATGTAGATATTTAATTTAATTTTATTACATTAAAACTAATAAAATGAACAATGTTTGGACTTAACTATCTCTAAATTACTATAACGTCATCACTGTGTTAACATATAGTTGCATAGAAGCAAGAACAAGAATTTGGCATAATTAATAAGCATCCGACGTATTAAAAAATATAAAACAGTGAAAGTGTAAATTCTGAATAATCATAGAGTACACATTTGATATGCACTTCACAATCGTACAATTAGCAAAACACTGAGCCGGAATTCCACTTAACTTCTCTACACGTTATGTTTATACTCGATGCTTTAACAGGAAAAATTGGTTCGTTGTCAGCTGTGATGTTTTATACATAAATGAAATGAAGTCCAGCATGCAATTTAGGTAGGTAAGTACGTAGGCACAGTGTCGGTTTATTGACCTAGTGACGATGAGCCATGAAACCAGCGGTTGTGGGGCAGGTCGCGGCCGGGAAACGCCAGATCCGACACGTAACAAAAGGTCTTTGAACTTCACACGGAAAGTGTACGGTGAGTTATGCTCTAAAGTCGTAACACTCGTAACCTGACACTTTATCGAACGTTATCGACTCGAACTAGTTGATAACAGAAGAGTGACCGAATTCACTGTTCGAAGTTTGAAGTTCAAGGCGTTCGCATTGAGAGCCATTGCGGCAGAATAACAGTCGTTTCACAAAGACACTTCACGGCCGGTTTCGTATGGCCTTCGTCATTACTAAAAATTATTATTCAACCAGCATAATCAGCTTGTAGCAATTAGACAATACTAATGTGCTGAAACTCGAACGAACAAATAGGAAGTTTAAAATAATTTAATATACTGTTCGAAGTTGAACCATAATCAATATTTGATAACGTCCTGTCAGTATAAAATAATTGAAATAATTCGACATCTTCTTGATTATTTCAAAATTTACGTATGTTCAGGGTCACCTACTCTTTATTGTTGTCTAGTTTAAATGTTGTTTTTGTAGTGAGTTTGTATTTATGATTTTTTTTGTTGAATCAATTAAAAATATCTTGCCAATGTTTAAATTAATTAATTAAATTTAATTACTAGACGTACCTATTTAAGTGTGTGTGGTTTGATAAATTGATCTTGTTCACAAAATATCCGGCTTGTTGATAGGCAGAGTCAAAAATTAAAATTGAACAGTAGAAACAGGATAGTTTACAAATATTATTAGCCTAAAAAACGCGTTGAATTAGTTCGAGATCAGGGTAGTCATATCATTTAGCATTAATAAACATACATAAATTAATATATTATTCATCTTACGCATGTTTTAAAAATACGCCATATTAAATCATTCCGAAGATAAATTTTGAAATGACTCCTCGTTTCAATCATTTTCTATTTTGTTACAATAGTCTAAACTGATAAATTAGTGTATCCTCCATATTTGATTGACGATAGTAAGTTAAAAATTAACTAATAATTAATATATATATTATATTTTTTTATCTTTGAATGATTGGTGGCCCGGAGGCCTTTCCAGTTTTACCAGGACAGTTGGGCGCAGTAAAGGCTCAGTCAAGAGGGGTGGGGTTAGCTAATAGCTGCCCGAGCGCCTCCGAAGGAAACCTAACAAGAAAATGATATACTCAAGCGTCACTCATACGATTATCGATATCAGTGAATATAGCATGGGTTTCAGACAAGCTGAAATCAAACTGGTGCTCGATTGGAATCTACGTTAAAGCATTTATGAATCACTAGCGACTCGCCCTCGCTTCGCTTCGGAAACATTAAATTTTATTATTCATAGCTCAGTCCCGCGATGTTACCCGCGGTTATTGTCGTACTACGGGTGACGCCGCGGGGCGAAGCTAGTCTAAAAAAAGTAGCCTAAGTTACTCCGTATGTATCATCAGCTACCTATCAGTGAAAGTCTCGTCAAAATCGGTCCAGTTGTTCCAGAGATTAGCCGAAAAAAACAGACAGACAGACAAAAATTGTAAAAAATCTTATTTTGGTGTATGTACCGTATATACATATATTCATATGCATGTAGTAAAAAGCGGTTATTTCAATATTACAAACAGACACTCCAATTTTATTTATATGTGTAGATGATGTCACTGGCCCACAAGTGCTGTTTACTAGTATATACTAATGTAAGCTTAGTAATAATATTACTAACGATTGATATCAAGATCTAGTGGGACATAATATAAAGGTTCAAACGTTATTATTTGTGGCGTGCTTGAAGAATATTTGCACAGGTTCTATTATACTTTTTATCATCATAGAAGCACCGTACCTACACAGTATAATAACAATACCTACTTAATTATACTTACGATTATTTTTATCTATATTAGATACCCTTGATTTATAATGAATTAGACAGATTTGTCCTAGAACTGGAAATTTAAACAAGGTCCATACAAGACAAGTTTTATAATTTTAACAATCACCTTAATGTAAAAATGTTAACATATTGTTTATTCTCAAATCTAGTACCTACATGCGGATACGTTTTTGTTCTTCACACTTTTTACATCTATTGAGTTAGACAGAGATGTCGTGTAGCTTCACAAACTTTATTAATTTCTTTCTGTGTTGTGCAGTATGCACTAGAATAAGTATTTAGCCTTGGAGTAATTATCTTTAGGCATATTGTGCATTACCATATTATATTTACATGCCAACGATGCCATAGGATAGGTACACGATTTTTGTTTAGTGTACAATACAATTTATGAACATATATTAAGTGTATAATCTATGTTACGAACGATCTCAACGATCTGAAAAAAAATACTAAAGGATTGAACACGAATACTAGCGACATCTATTAAACTATCGGCAACTTATAATAGTAAATTCTTTTTCGATTGACGTGCTTTGTTGTTCCTTTTTATTTCTAAGTTACAGCAAATGAGAAACAGATGGCGTTAAAATATTATTTTTCTTAATTATTTATTTTCGTTTCTGGGACACGAAGACTGAAATTAGACAAAATTAAAATTTAATCGATCGATATTTAGCAAAAAATGGTGTAGTTTTAGAAGATTATATGATATTATAGAGGAAATGTTTTGGCGTATCATCAAGAAATGACGTGAAGTCGGTGCGCTTACGCTGTCACGGTCAGCGCACTATCAGAGGAGAAACACTCGTCATTTCGATGTAATCACGAGTAGTCGCGTTGCTACAGGGCTCATTGTAGTTCGCCACGAAAGCCCTTTTCAGTGCCGTTTCAAATGTAGTCGCTTTCGTATTCTTATGTCAAAGGCAGATTTCTGAGCTTCGAGAGGAAAATCGATGTTATCGTAAGTACTAATTTGGTTTTCCTTTGATTTCCATAATACAATTGACAGCATATTGCACAATTTTCATTAATAATTATCACAGTGCTTCATGAAATCATCATGGAAAAACCTGTAACTGTACATTATTAATATTATTGATAAATTATCTCTGTCCTTCCTTCTTTGTTGCAACTTTCTCTTTAAATCTACATAGGGTCGGGCAAAATACAAATTCCCAAATAAAAATCGAATTGAACTGTGGTAGTAAATTAAAAAATATTAAATTATTTTTATTTGAAAACAAAATAGATTGAATACGTTCTGACAGCAAAGCAGTGTCTAGACATAAAGAACGTGACCCCAAATCGACGAATGCCAGCGAGCAGCGAGCGAGCGATGTTCCCCTCACAAGCACGTGGTTATAAAAAATGCGGTTTAGAACATTAAATACTGTATGGCAGAGTTCAGTTTATTTTCATTAAAAAAATCTATCCACTTATAAATAACATAAAAATTCTCCGAATAGGTATACGTTGTTTGACTGATGACACATTTTTGTCATTAATCAGTTAAACATAACATTATTGACAGAAAAAATATGAACTGACTAATTCATGGAGAAAAGATTACTCGTACTTAATATTAATTATGGTTGTAAAGTAGCGATTTTTTTAAAAAATCATTTTAGGTATTAAATAATATTTTAAACAATTGGCAACTCTTTATACATTCACGCGCGCTCTAATGTTAATACGGTACCTAAGAACCTTGTTGCCATGGTGACGATAGAAGCTTAAAACAAATGAAAAAATGATAAATTATGCCGAAGGTGTAACCGATTTATTTTATACTACTACTCGTAATATCTAACATTATTCTATATTAATTTAAATGTTTGAGCTCGAGTTTGACATGTACCTATAGGTACTCTAGCATCAATTACTATAAAATACAGCAGTATCAAAATATGTCACTTTCTATTGAAATTTTGACATAAATAAATAAATAAATAATCTTNAAATGATAAGTTATGCCGAAGGTGTAACCGATTTATTTTATACTACTACTCGTAATATCTAACATTATTCTATATTAATTTAAATGTTTGAGCTCGAGTTTGACATGTACCTATAGGTACTCTAGCATCAATTACTATAAAATACAGCAGTATCAAAATATGTCACTTTCTATTGAAATTTTGACATAAATAAATAAATAAATAATCTTAATAACTTTTATTGCATTAAGCGGATAGCCTACCGAACTATGCAGTCCATACGAATACATTTAATTGGTCGATGTGTCTGTTACGACAGACAGACAATAATGTACTAAGGACGTTTAAAATTAAGTCTAGATGAGTCTGATGAATTTTTTTTTTATTTTTTTTATTTCTTATATGCTTGGACGAGCTCACAGCCCACCTGATGTTAAGTGGTTACTGGAGCCCATAGACATCTACAACGTAAATGCGCCACCCACTTTGAGATATAAGTTCTAAGGTCTCAAGTATAGCTACAACGGCTGCCCCACCCTTCAAACCGAAACGCATTACTGCTTCACGGCAGAAATAGGCAGGGCGGTGGTACCTACCCGCGCGGACTCACAAGAGGTCCTACCACCAGTAAAAATAGTATACCAGTCTTAAATAGTATAAATATAATAGAAACATTATTCAAAAACAAGGTACAAGCCCCCTTATTCCTTAGGTGCTAAGGGCGGGCGTTCAGTAAACCGAGCCTGGATCTCGAACAGAGGAAAACCTCTAATAATAAATATATCGTATATTATATAGTGTATTAAATAAATATATTATTTATTTACTTTGTACGATTTATGCCCACCGATAACCTTAATTAAATTGAGAAGTTTTTCTGGTTTCTCCTACTTTCATCGAATACAATTAGGTAGTTCAAGTTGGATAGTCTAAAGCTCATATTGGGCTTATTCTTTCCGTAAGTAACGTTTCTGATACTCCATAGTTAACAGGAAGTTGTCGTGGCTTAAAGGATAAGATGCCAGGTGCGTTCGTATCAAGCGATGCAACGCTGTTCGAATCCCACAAGTACTAATTTTTGTAATAAAATATGTACAAAATAATTTTGATTGACTTCCACGGTAAAGGAATAACGTCGTGTAAAAAAAAGCAAACCCACAAAATTATAATTTGCGTAATAACTTGTGGTAGGACGACCTGTGAGTCCGCACGGGTAGTAGGTACCACCACCCTGCCTATTTCGCCGTGAAGCAGTAATGCGTTTCGGTTTGAAGAAAGCAGAGCAGCCTTTGTACTGTAAACTTGACACCATAGAACTCATGTCTCGCGGTAGATGACGGCATTTATGTTGTAGATGTCTATGGGTTCCGGTAACCTCTTACTTAACACCAGTTGGGCTGTGAACTCGTCCATCTATCCAAGCAGTAAAAAAAACCGTTATCGTGATCACAGTAGACTGATAGTAAACGAACGTTTTTTAAACTTATCTCGATTTTTTTAAATAAAACTTTGAAGTATCTGAAACTACAGATCGTCATCATCTGAGGCGTTACAGTCGAGAATGGACCCAAGCATGGTCCAGTATTTTTTTCCATTCAGATTTATTCATGGCTTTTCTTCTCCAGATTAGCATCCCCAAGTTCTTTGTGTTTTGTTTGACGGCGTCCAACTATCATTTCTTAGGCCTACCACTATTTCTGTGGCCATTCGGTCGGCCTTCCAGAAGACGTTTCGGTACTGTAGCCTCGTCCATTCGTCCATTCATCGACAATGTGCCCTACTCATCGCAGGCGTCTGATCTCTATTTTTTTTTTTTTTCTCCTACCTATGCTGATAGCCTTGAGAGGCTATTTCAGCTTCACCCTAACGTGTGTAGGTAAGCTCACGGGGCTCAAACCGGAGAGTTGCTAACACAGACCCTAGCAAGAGCAGTGCTTCGCAGAATCTACCACCGGATCGGAAACGCGACCCACTGAGAAGATCCGGCGAGAAAATCAGTGGGCTAGTTATGGTCTTAATGACGATTGGCTCAATGTTCATATGAAACCACAGATAAACGTTTAAAAACAAAATCTTGTCAAAAACAAACGCAAATAGATTCATACTATTATGTCGCATGCTTGCCTGTTTGGTGCGTCGGTGACGTCACGGAAATATTCTGTTCACGAATACTAATAAGTCTAGACTCTAAGTCTGTAATAATTGCTTATCGGTAGCCGGTTTCTTATAAATCACATAATATATTAATGCAAATACGTAAAGAACGAGCACATAATCCAGAAATAGCACCTAAATGACGCGTATTATTCACATATTGTGCGTATTGTTCGCCTTTGTATGGCATAAATAAACAACATGGTGACTGTACGAACGGAAAGTTCAGTGGGATCCGTGTATTGACAGATGAACTTCGATATCGCGTCGAAGATTGCTAGTAGGTAATACTTTCTACTTTTAAATTGGTTCAACTCCCACCCGTCGACCTCTAGGAGACTTGATGTTTTGCTATTTCCCTCTGATTCAACCATCTTCCTGATTCTCTAACAGTTCAGCGGACTCAATCGCTTTAACGTTTCGATTGACATCGAGCGAGTGGTTTTGACAAATCTATCTACGCATCACGCAAATCTTCAATATTAGAACAATATTAATTAGGACGTGATTTCTTTGATGCGAATAAAGTGTTACTGATAATTTTCAAATTGTAAATTAAAATTTGAGATATCATGGTCTTGCACGTGCTGTAATCTTTATTGCACAATCATAGGTAAAGAGCATGAAGCATGATTTGTGCGGCACGTGTACAAAAGGCATGGATCGTTCTTTGTTCTGTTTAACCTCTGTACGTTTAAGATTACTTTGGTAAGATTCTTTTTAAAGCTTTCAATAGTTTTGTGTAATCTAATCTGGATATTTACAAGTTCACGATTACTTTGCTATATGACCTATTAAATGCTGCTTATAGAGCTCAATTTAGTTTTGTGAATTTTCAATAAATACTAAATAATTTTCAATAATTATCGTCTCATTCAGTGTTTTTATCCGCGAATATATTGGTTACTGATTTATATCTAGAGCCTCTTACTCACAAAAATCAATGTCAATAATGTTGACATTGATATTTTTGGGGCTTGTAAATATTCAATACATGAGATCTAAGCTTCAATCGTAACGGTTATCCCAAACCTTAAAATTGAAACGCATTACTGCTTCGCAGCAACGCCGGGTGTCGATGTCTACCCATGCGGCCTTACAGTACGCTTGGTTGAAATCAGTACAATAATTTAATATTTAAAAAGGAATAAATAACCTGTGTGCTTAGTGCGAGTTTTTTAAATTGGTATAAATTTGGAACAGCGCCCCTAGCGGTAAACGTAGGCAAACTTTCCAACTAAGCACACTGATCGTTGTAAAAAAAAAACAAGTCAATTATCGTTGGTTGCCAGAAATTTACGTATTCGTCACATGACAAGCGATAAGAATAACGGCGTGAATTATTTTCTTAAGAATTTTGAATTCAAATAATACGTAAATACCTACGTATATTTTTATCTATGCTATAATTGGTTTGTTTGTTTTGTTCTTAGTACATAAGAGGTACAAATACGAAGCCAATTAAAAAAAAAGCAATTAATAAAAATTGTCTATTTAGGCTTCCGTTGCTTTAACTTTATATACTATTGTATATACATACTATGTATTCGTTTTATAAGTGTGTGAAAGCACGTGACGGTGACGTTATTCGCTAAGAAGACAAATTAACTATTTTGGGATAAATCAAACAGTATCAGACTGTCAGTAACAAACAGCTTGTAAACACCATTATCAGTGGATGACGAGATTAGTACAATTATGCAGATTTAAAAATGACGTCATTTAATGTAAATTTTGAAATTATTTTAAGCGTTCCTCTTCGAATTAGATACGTTTTTAATATTTATAGGTATTTTTTGTGCGTTAACAATATTTTTGTATTATTTAGGTATAGATTTATTACGTTTCTGCCTTCTGTAGTTGCAGTTTTTGTTTTATTTTATAAAACAAACTACTTTATTGTAGCTTTTTAAACACAATAACTTTCCAGACGTACTTGAGGCAATGGATACATTTTAGCTTACAAAGATTACTACAAAATCATAATATATGATCGATTCACGCTAGCTGATTTTTATCAGGCAGAGAGTATAAAAATAGCATAGTTGTTATAATCTTGTGTTTTGGATGCTCTTTAATACCACAGAGTTGTCTAGTCACTCACTCACTTAAGTCGGTCAGCTTTTTGAATCTCACTTGCATTGCCTGCGTGATCAAACGCTTAATTTATTAAAATTAGAGTTTAGGGTTCTCTTGAATTTTTTTTAATGCTTAGATGGGTGGAAAAGCTTAAGGCCCATCTGGTGTTAAGGGGTTACCAGAGCACATATAGACATCAGCAACGTAAATGCCGCCACCCACCTTGAGAAATGAGTTTGTCTCATTGTTATAGTACAAAGGCTGTCCCACCCTTAAAAACTTATTGCTTCACGGTAGAAATGTGCAGGACACACAAGAGGCCCTCCCACCAGTAATTATGAAAATTATATCATTACAAAAATTTATACTTGCCTGCGGAATTCGACAACCGTTACAGTCGCATAGCTCTATATGAATGTACTGGGCGTCTTATCCTCTAGACCACGACGGCTTCAATGCTTTCTTACGTTAAAGGAACTGGGTGTGGTATGCCAAAACGTCAGAGTCGTCTTTCCGGTCTAGCCATTAAAAACATAGTCAGTCTTGCTTAGTACAAAAAACCCAAGTTCTTTGTTTCAGTTTGTTTGTATTTATCAACTAATGGTTCACTTTAATTGTGCAAAACGATCAAACTTTACCGCCATGCTATTGTCATCAATCATAATTTCTGAAATAATTCAAACATGGTTGAGATGAAAATCCTTGAACCTGAACTTAATCTTTAAAGCGATTACATACATAAAGCTATTACATAAATCGATTGATATAGTACTCTGCAAAAGCTATATTTTAATCCGACTAAATATTAAATGGGCCACCATGAAGCTTCGACGCGCCTAATTATTATTATTAGCTATTAGACAGTTGTTTATAGGGCAAAGGATCGGTTACAGTCAATCATATCAAACGGACAGAGATGGGCTTTTAGCTCATGTAAGATCGGATTATACAATGAGTATCACATGGCATACATTATGACGCAGACGCTGTCGTTCAATCGTAGTCAAATTAGCACCCACACAAAGACAAAACATATCTCACCGTATCGGATTTATGTATTGTGTATCAATCAGCAGTCGGTTTGATATTCTGGCTCATCTTATAAAGCCGTTGTTACTAACGAGTGTTCAGACGGACCTGGATAAGGAATCTTGAATGGTTTTACAAAGTTTTTGATCACAATAGTAGTGTAGGGTCAGTTTTTAGGATATTCTATTGTGATTACTAAGGGTTAGAAACAAAATAAGTAAATAGTATAATAATTATTATAACTTAACCGTTGAAGATACTTTTTATTCTCGTTTTTATCTGTCTGGTATAACGAGAGCCAGCAATATCGTATATAGCCTACGGGATATACATCTAGTAACAAAAAAAAGGAACAGTATTAACAGTGTTTTATCTGTAGTAGGGAAAATTCTGATTTCTCTGATACTTAAAAAAATGATTTCAATTGATGATGAATTGTTGTCTTTGCTTTTGACCTAAACATCGTATTTGTGTTGAGTCGTCTGAGTGATGTGATTTTTATTTTCTTTCCAGATCAGTTGCGGTCTAGATCAATAAATCGACCGTCGCCCGCAACTTTACACAGTCCTATCCCGATGGGTTGAGTAGTCGACATCGCGTCTTCGTGGTCATACCACTAAGTCTGTAAGTATCTATCTGAAATACTGTTTTCAATAAAAAAAATAACCTGGAGCACATTAGATAATGTGAATAGTGCCGCCTACTGAAATGGTGACGTTAATGTCCCCAATTTTTTTAGATTATCATTATTAACAACCTAACATAATTACTGAGGCTATTTTATTTAAGCCAATACATGAAACGGAAACAAATCAGAAATACATATACAGCTATTGCAGTACTAAATATATCTAAGAGTATTGCTCTTATGTTAGATAATTGAGTGAGTGAATTGAGTTAAAATTAAGGTCATTACCAATGAACTTAACGCAACCTATGTGTGATTCGGAGCGCGACATCGATACACGTTACTTCTGCCTAAGCTGGTAGTTTTATTTAAATTTAATTGAAGACATTGAAATTGAAACAATTTTATGAAAATGGTATGTCTTTATCGAGGTTCGAAAGTGTACATTAGTAAACCGTTAAGATACAGTACGTTTCCAGAATTATTTTTGTCACGCACCATCCGACTCTGGAATGAGCTCCTCTCTACGGTATTTCCCCAGCGCTATGACATGTCCTTCTTCAAACGAGGCTTCCGCAGAGTCCTTAGCAATAGGCAGAGGGTTGGCTTTGTCACTGCCATTACTGACTTCCATGAGCGACGGTAACTACTTACCATTAGGTCATTGAACTATATTACGTAGTAGTAGTACCTCAATTCATTAGGTGGGCTGTGAGATCATATGCCAACAAAGGCAATGAAAAAAAAAACAATTTTATGTCGTCATATGAAACGGCAAACATGTTTATTATAATTTATTCTTATCATTTACTAGTAAGCTGACATTTATTCAATAACTAACATAAATATTCCAGGTCAAGAAATGTTTTAAGATATATTAGGGTAGTCGATAACAGGTAATCTTTGTTTTTTTTAGTTTTTCTGTCCAAGATAGAGTTAATTTTTATTTTTCTAAGCAGAAGAACTGATGACTGACAGTGACCGCACTGATGTCTGCCAATAAAAAATAAATGCCAATAAATAGTCCCATATGAGTTATGATTTAATCAACTTGATGAAAAATCAATAAAGATAACGTTAAAGTTACATATTTCCTTTCGATTATGTACGTAGTATGAATAATATGTATCAAAGATACGATATTACTAGATTAGATTTGACATAGTATTATTAAATCTGTTGAGCTGTTGTTTCGCCGATTGATGCATTTCGTGTATTATTGGATAGCTAATGCCCTACTTAGATCTCTAGATCCAGGGGTTAGATAGAGTGAGTTAGTAAGCAATTATCATTTTACTCGACTACCGAAGGAAGCTCATGTTTTTGTTTCGTCATTTGTTTTGCTCGTTTGGATGTCAGTCTAATTCTTTGGCACGTTTTACAGCCACGTTTTCAACACATGCGTTGTCATAATAAGATTTGTCTCAAATGTGGAAGCTACGTAGAAAATAGTATTTCAACATAGTATCCACGAAATCTATACTTATTAATATTATAAAGCTGCAGAACTTGTTTGTTTGAACGCGCTAACCTCAGGAACTACGGGTCCGATTGGAAAAATTCTTTCAGTGTTAGATAGCTCATTTATTGAGGAAGGCTATATAAGATCACGGTAAAACCAATGTAAGTGGAGCAGGAATAAAGAATGTTTCAAAATAGGGGTTGTTTTTACCTTTTGAGAACTTCCGCTGCGTGCGCTGCAGAAACGATTAAAGTTTCGCTAAAATAATGTATGACAGAATTGTTCCCCTTTAAAAGATCTAAGTAAAGTCCGCGACAGCATATGTTAAGGTTGGCTCACTATAACGTTTTTTATGCTAACCAAATTTGTTCTAAAATAAAGCATTATTTGTGAACTATTCCACGCGGACGAAGTCGCGGGTAAAAGCTAGTAAGTAGCTCATAAAACGTTTAAAAAAAAACTTTTGTAGAATAATACGATTGCCGAAAAAATACTAACTGAAATGCGAAAAACAAGCTGTCAATTAAGGTATTGCAGGAGAGGACAAGTTAATCGCAGATCACTTGGTAGCTCGATGGACATTTTTTAAAGCAATTTGCTATGTTACTGTAGAATTAAGCATCTTCTAAATCGAATTGCAATTCAATCGAAGAATCGAAAAGCATCTTTGAATTAAGGACTTTCTTTACACATAACTATTTTATTACGGTGCGTTACTTATCCACAACTAGAACAAATTTTACGGCTTAATCTGGCGCATTTTTTTTTTATTGTCTTTATTTTCGACGTTTTGAATACTTTCCAGTTATCGCAAATACAATAAAAAATGCGAGATTAAGTCGTGAAAGTATTTTTAATTATATCTACGATTCGCGAAACCGAAGTCATTATTACTTTTCCATTTTTAATGTAGCCAAAAAACCGTTATCAGTTTAACAATGGTGCGACAAAATCGTGTGAAACTAAAACACATTGTGTGATTATACGTAGGTAATACAAGATAAAAGTGCACAAAATAAAAAATATTTGCTGTTACATCTCAAACAGAGTTAGGAAAGATCCATATTATAATTATATTATAATACATCCATATTATATTGTAATATAATTTACGTAATTACTAGTGGTAGAACCACGGGGTAGAACTACTGGTAGAACCTCTTGTGAGTTCGCATGGGTAAGTACCACCGCCCCGCCATTTCTGCCGTGAAGCAGTAATGCGCTTCGGTTTGAAGGGTGGGGCAGCCGTTGTAACTATACTGAGACCTTAGAACTTATATCTCAAGGTGGGTGGCGCATTTACGTTGTAAATGTCTATGGGCTCCAGTAACGACTTAACACCAGGTGGGCTGTGAGCTCGACTACCCACCTAAGCAATAAAAAATAAAAAAGTAAAAAGATTCAGATCGGAACAAAGTGGCACCTCGCGCGGTCTTTGTAGATGTGCAAGAAAAAGTTTATTATAAAAAATACATGAATAGGGCTCGCGCTCGAGACGTTCCGTTCATTGACCCCTGAAGGAGATCCATTCAAAGTGCATTCACTGCATTTAATGTTGTAGTTATCGTATAACACATAGGATATTGCTTATTTTTTCTTTGTAAAGCCCGCATTTATGAAGTGCATTCACCTTTATCTCGTAAAATTGACTAACACAATGAAATTTATAATTATTATTATAAAAAATCGCCACTGAGTTTTGCGTTAAAGTAAGTTTTTTTATAATAGCACTAACAGTACCTATATGACAGCCACACTATTATCGCATAATGTACAATAATAAGTAAACGTGTATTTTGTTTTTAAGTTCTTTTTTATTTTTACCAGTTCTGTTCATTTTCTACATCGCCGTAATGCGAAAAACTCGTTCCATTAATATTTAATGGACCTGTGGTTTTAATAATTTTTATAATAAACTATTATATAAGCACGTCTCTAAAAAATTAAGAATTTTCGTTTGTAACTTGGATTTTTATCAATTTGAAAGAATGTTGAAAAAATTCGGCTACCTGCGTGTTTCGGCTTTCATATAAATATGACCGATAGCTGCTCACGAGCGTCTTTCAAAAATGAGCACTGTGTTTTGGTATTTTGGTTTATTTTTGGTTAGATTAGCTAGCAGTATGATTCCGGCTTAGTAAGATTGTTAATGGTGAAGTCTGTGATGCAACTTGTCACTAACCAATAGGTCATGCACATACTATGAAATATTAGTTTGCCAAGTGGCGGACAAGGTCATACTTATAAAGTAAATCGGAGTCCTTGTCGATGGAGTCAGTTCCAAAAGCAAACCCATTTGCATATTGTGACAATGAGGTGCTTTTTATCAATGTAATGTGCATGCGATATACCGACCTTATGTTCACTAGCATCACCTTTAAAGAAAAAATATTTAAGTTGAGGCACAGAACTATTTAGNATTAGTTTGCCAAGTGGCGGACAAGGTCATACTTATAAAGTAAATCGGAGTCCTTGTCGATGGAGTCAGTTCCAAAAGCAAACCCATTTGCATATTGTGACAATGAGGTGCTTTTTATCAATGTAATGTGCATGCGATATACCGACCTTATGTTCACTAGCATCACCTTTAAAGAAAAAATATTTAAGTTGAGGCACAGAACTATTTAGACAAGCTTCGCAACGGGCTTAATTAAACAATATATTTGAAATATGTCATAATGCAACCAAAACTCATGTATTTGTAATCGCTGAAGAATCTCGATACACTTCTTAAACCTTATTTAAAGAGATATATGTCGAATAATACATACTGAAAGAGGAAACTCTTTCCACCGTTTCAAGGTTTAAACAAGATAAAACAAAAGACAAAATATGGAAACGCGTAAGTGCTTCTTCTCTAACAAATGGTACCGTGGTAGGTATAATGTTACTAAAAAGACTGTCTTTGGAAGAGGAATTAGGACACGTCTCGAGATCCTAAGTTCCTATTAGTGCTCCCTTGCAGGAATATCGAAATCTGCTTCGATAATGTAGTCTTTAAACACTGGTCACTAGAGTAGAGTGCATTTTTTTTTTTAAGAGCACTGTTTAAACATTTCCGGAATCCATTAATCTCTAGTAGTCTATGAATTCACTTACGTGGTGTTCTCATAGTGGGGTTTCATCTTCTTCAAAATCAAGGACCTTTGGTAAACATCACACCTCATTTCGGATCCTCCCGATCCACTATTGGTGTTTTAGGTACTACAAGCACCGGTCACCGTTCCCGTCGAAGCAGTCGCTTGCGACGAAGGCCTCGGAGAGCACAGACTCAGCCCACTGAGTTTCTCGCCGGATATTCTGTGGGTCGTGTTTCCGATCCGGAACTCTGCGAAGCACTGCTTTTGCTAAGGCTAGTATTAGCAACGTCCTCAGGTTAGAGCGCCGTGAGCTCACCTACTCGCCCGGTCACCCTGGCATGGCCCCCTTGGTTACCAGTATAGGTAAGAAAAAAAAAGATAAACATGTAACGGTTTACCTATGACTCTAGTCGGATGCGCATTAAGCACGTATCTTTAGGGATGCTGTTCCCGC